CGCCGCGCCCCCTCCCCGGCTGCCGCCCCGCCCACCCGTGAAGGTGCCCGGCCCAGTCCGCTAAGGTTACCCAGCGCCACTTGCGGCGTCTGGTCACGTGGGTGGTCACGCCCCATTTGGACACGTGATTGCGGTGTCCCGCCCACAAACCCAGAAGCCCGAGCGGTCTTCTATAGCCCCGTCGTTCACTCACCTCCAGTCACCTGGCTGCCCCCGAAGGGGCGCGAGACTGAGAATGCAAAGCGGCATTCAAGAGCCTCCGTGGGGACAATAAATTGTTTCCCTGGGATCGCCCGAGTCATCGCAACGCAACGCCTGGCCAACTGCGCGTGCGCACCCGGTTTGTACCCTAGACTTAAGGTCATTGGCCGTTCCCAGCCGTAATTCCCGCCCTCTTTTCCCATCATGCCCTAGACCTGGAGCCTATTGGCGGTCCCAGCATCCTCGCTTCATATATGGCTGAATTCTTAAAGAGACAGAGGTTGAGCCATGAAAAAGTAGAAGGGAGCATTTGAAAAAGGAGATCAGGAGTGTTAGATGGCGCTGTATATGCCCTGTTCTGGTTTTTTGTTTTGTTTTGGTTTTTGATTTCTGGAGTCGCGGTTTCTCTGTGTAGCACTAGCTGTCCTGGAACTTGTTCTGTAGACCAGGATGGTCTTGAACTCAGAGATCCGCCTGCCTCAATCTCCTGAGTGCTGGGATTAAAGTCTTGTGTCACCACCGCCTGCTACTCTGTTCTGTTCTATAATAGCTTTCTTAAGAAGATAGATGCTCAGAGAACATAATACTTGACATTTATTAATCAAAGTTACTGCTATACAATTATGTATCATTCCACATAGTAGTAAAGCAAACCATTATATGGTACAAATTTTTGTATGGAAAAATTATACTCTGGTTTTTTAAATCCAATATTGTTTTTTAGATATATTTATGATTTGTGAAGCTGTTCTTTATTTTGACTGCTGCATAGTATTTTTTCTATGTATACACTTGTTACATCCATGATTTGGTCAATATGGCTGATAGACTTGTTTTTGAAGCATCTAGCTATGTAGATTTGCCTCTCTTTGTTATTGTGTTTCCATCCTGCAACATATATTTGAAATAAGAACACTCAGAATGTCTCCTTATTTGGAAATTGGATGGTTGCTGATGGAACTAGTTAATATACAACCAGAGGCTGGGGAAATGGCTCAGTGGGCTCAGTGGCTTCTTGCTGCGGGAGCATGAAGACCTGAGTTCAGATCTCCAGAATTCATGTGAAGCTAGACACATTTATAATCCCACCATTCCTACAAGATGGGAAACAGACAGGAGGCCAGCTAACCTGCAGTAACATACTTGTGTGTGCCATATGCACGCACATACACACACAAACACACACACTCACACAACTTGTTTTTAAAATTTTGAGCTACATATTTCTAATATACAGTGGCATTAAAAATAAACATTACTATTTTTAATAATTTATTAGTTTTTATTTTATGTGCATTGGTGTTTTGCCTGCATGTATATCTATGTGAGGGTGTTGGGTACCCTGGAACTGGAGTTACAGACAGTGTGAACTTCCATGTGGATGCTTGGAATTGAACTCAGGACCTCTGGAAGAGTTGTCAGTGCTCTTAACCACTGAGCCCCAAATTTATTTCATGTGAATTGATGTTTTACCTGCATGTATGTCTGGTAAGGGTGTCAGATCTTGTAGTTCCAGACAGTTGTGAGCTGCCTTGTGGGTGCTGGCAATTGAGCCGGGATCCTCTGAAAAAGCAGTTAATGCTCTAAACCACTGAGTCATCTCTCCCGCCCTGAACATTGCTATTCAACAATAGAAGAATGGGGGTTCAGCAAGGAGAGCTCAGACCAAAGCAAGTCTAAAACCCAGAAGAGCTAACACCAAGTCCTGAAGCTCCATGTCTGGATCTGGGGATCTTCATGGACTCATCTGGACTTCCAGGAGCTTAGGTAGCCCTGCCCCTCCAGCTCTGTTGCAAGCAGAACACACCTCTTTGCTGAAAGCTCCACTCCATCCATACAGCTTTATTTTCCTTTTTCTTTTTTTACTTTATGGTGGGAGCATAAAGGTCTTTGCACCCACAGATGTCAGGAAAAACCAGGAATGTTAAACATGTGAGGGCCTCTCCTCAATGGAAGAGATAAAATGCCTGTTTTTCCATCCAAAAAGCTGAAAATTGATAATTTTAATGACCTAGTGACCTGTTTGCTGCCTGAGGAGGCAGACCCCACCCAAAATGTTTATGCCAGACTCTACGTCCCTAGATCTTGATCTTTAGTTCCCAGTTAATAGAACCCATCCTTAAGAAGGGAATGTCATATATACTTTATAGCCTGCTGAACTCTGTGCTGTCTGTCAGAAACCACACCAGATTCTAGGCCTTTTAGCTACAGAACTCACTCTGGTGGTCACATGTACTTTGCAAAGGAATTTCTATGTAGTCATATCCTAAGCTTTTTTGTGCACCTGGATTGAAATGATTGCTTCCTGGAAAACTTTTCCCAAATTGTACTGTGTTTTAAATTGAAAGACCCCCGAAGAGGTACTTTCGTAGAAGGAGACCCGTACCCAAGAATCAGCGAGACCACGAACTTGGATGCAAATAGCAAGAGGCTTTATTGGATACACGGGTAC